CAGGGGATGTCCCCCCGGTCAGGGAGGGACAGGGGAGTCCCCGTCAGCGGTCCTGGCGTGCCTCAGACACAGGTGCCCGTGTCCGCAGGTTGGTGGGGTGCCGCCTCACCGCCGCCTGCTGCAGGGACCTGTCCAGCGTGGTCGCGAGAAGCAAACACCTGAAGAGCCTGGACCTGGCCCTCAACGCCGTGGGCGACAGTGGGGTTGCGGCGCTCTTCGAGGGACTGAGGCACGGGACGGGCGCTCTGAGGAGACTCGGGTAACCCTGGGGTCACCTGCGAGGGCTGGGCGGGGGGCGGGGGGCGCAAGCGTGAAGCTGCTTGGACAAAGTTAACGTTCTCGTGACTCCCTCACGCTAGGCGGGACACGCCCTGGCAGAGCCGGATCTGGGCACGAGTCCCAGCTCCACGCCTGCGTGTGACCTGAGTGGGACAGCAGGTGCCCGGGCCGGAGCGCCGTCTAGAGGTAGAGAGCCCTCAGGTCCTTATGGCATAGCCCATGTGCTGGGCGTGGTGCCAGCTGGCGCACGCGTGCGGTGAGGGTGGCATCGTGGCCATGTATGGCATCGTGGTATGTACGGCCCGTGGGGGGAGGGGCAGAAGCAGCGATCGCACAAACGGTTCTCAGAGCCGCACTGAGTGTCAGAATCACCCGGGCCTGTACGCTGGGCTGTGGCTCAGCCGCAAAGAGGAATGGCGTGTGCACACGCGACAACACGGGCGACCCTTGAAAATGCGGCGCTAAGGGGAAGAAGCCAGACACACAGAGTCACATAGTGCGTGACTCCGTTTCTGTGAAAACATCCAGAATGGTCCAATCCATGGAGACAGTAGATGAGGGGTTGCCAGGGCCGGAGGAGGGACAGCTTAACGGGTATGGGCTTCCTTTCGGGGTGACAGAATGTTCTGGAACTAGACAGAGGCAGTGGCTGTGCAGCGCTGTGAACTACTCTAGAAGGCGACGCTCGCTGCCACGCGCCGAGTGCTGCCCGTGCACCCCGCGTGCGCGGCTCGTGCACCTCCCGACACCCGGGAAGGTCGTGGGCGCAGGGCGTGCTCTGAGGACCATTTCCTTCTGAGTCGCGTGTGGTCCAAGCTCCCGGCCACGTTCCGTGTCCCCCACATCTCTCCACGGGCCACGTCCCGTCCCTAGCTTCTGTCTGTTTCTCTTGCTTTGTGTTCTGCTATCTCTACCAGTCTTGTAAGTGCCGTCTGCTCTCAGCTCTCTGTGCGCCGGTTCCCCCTCCCTCCTAGGTCGCTGAGGGGCAGGTGCAAAACTACACAGGTGCGGGTTGGTCACACGCAGTCAGCGCTCGCTGGCGTAGGGCTGTTTCCCCGGCGCTACGTCTTCCCTGCTTGTTTCCCACTCCCTGAAACCATGACTTCAAACCGGCCGCACCCTCTGGAGTCATTCGGGGCCCACCTTCTTCTTCCTGGTATGTAACGAGTGGCCCTGCCCCTATGAATAAATCTGAAGCCATTTACAGGAAAGCCCTACGCTTTCTATCACGAAGCCGACTATCGTCTGCACCACCATGCCCCTCCTCTGCAACACGGAAGCGTCCCAGCCGTCACTAACGTCACCCCTCTGGACTCCCACAGCCCCTGTCTGCGCAACACCTTGTACTGTCCCTGCCGTCACTAACGTCACCCCTCTGGACTCCCACAGCCCCTGTCTGCGCAACACCTTGTACTGTCCCTGCCATCACTAACGTCACCCCTCTGGACTCCCAGTGCCCATCTGCGCAGCACCTTGTACCATCCCTGCTATCATTAATGTCACCCCTCTGGGACTCCCACAGCCCCTGTCTGCGCAGCACCTTGTACTGTCCCTGCCGTCACTAACGTCACCCCTCTGGACTCCCACAGCTTGTCTGTGTAGCACCTTGTACTGTCCCTGCCGTCACTAACGTCACCCCTCTGGACTCCCACAGCCCCTGTCTGCGCAGCACCTTGTACTGTCCCTGCCGTCACTAACGTCACCCCTCTGGACTCCCACAGCCCCTGTCTGTGCAGCACCTTGTACTGTCCCTGCCGTCACTAACGTCACCTTTCTGATATTCCCACAGCCCCCGTCTGCGCAGCACCTTGTACCATCATTGGTTTACCTGCCCCTTGCCTTGATCCTCAACCCTCCCTACTGGGCATTTTCTGTCTTTACAAATGCTTAGACGTTATTTTAGAAGCAAAACTGAAAAGCAAGCAAGCGAGCCTCCGTTCGGTCCCATCGCGCCGCCCAGCTACAGGTGGCTGAAACGGCTTGAGCTGCGTCTCCCCAGCTTCTCACTCTGTGGTGAGAATTGCAAAATGCACAGCCCTGAACAACGAAGACACTTAAAACCTGTATGTCCGCCACCTAGTTTACATGCTCATCAGCATTTTTTTCTCTGATGAACTATTTCATAGCAAGTTATGTATTTTTGACATTCTGCCCCAAAAATATCTCCACATAAATCTCCAAAATAGCAGAACATTCCTCTACAATGCCATTATTGCATGTAATGTCGTCCCTTGGCTTTCTGTTGCTCTTCAGATAAAACCCTAAATCCTTAATACGGCCTGAAATGTCCAACCTCGCTCCATACCACTGCCTCGGACTGCGCTCTGGCGTCCGGTGGGTTTGTTTCTCAGCTGTGCCCCTCCGCTCCGTCCACAGCCTGGGGTGGCGCAGTTTCGCACGTTGGTGTATACAGTGGGATATCCCTTCTCCTAGCCTACTTCTCCTTGTCTTTGAGTTTCAGAAACAATGTCACTTTCTCAGCAAGTCTTTCCCCACGTTCCTTGTTGCATTCCTTTGTTACAGGCATTCTTAGCCTTCATCTTTCATTCTTTCCACAACCATAATTTGAGGCATCCAGCTCTCAAAGTGAGAACCAAGAGCAGTGGTGTCACCTGGGAATGCATTAGGAATGCAAATATGTGAGTCCCTCCCCGGAAATTCCTAAACCAGAAACTCTAGGGATGGAGCCTACCACTTTCTTTTTTTAATTTTTTTAAACATCGAGGTGAAATTCATTTGGGTTGAATAAAGGTGCCATCCTTGCTCTTTGGGGTCATTTTCTGGGTGTCCTGACCCTGCAGGTTGCAGTCGTGTAGTTTGACCTCCGACTGCTGCGAGGCGCTCTCCGCCACCCTCACCTGCAACCAGAGCCTGACCAGTCTGAACTTGGCGC